AGCCCCGGGGAGCGGTGCCGGTGGCAGTGCCGGTGTCGATGCTGGTACCAGTATCAATACCGGTGCTGGTTCCAGTACCGGTACCGTTGCCCCCACCATGCCCAAGCTGCTACCGGCTCAAGAGGCAGCACGGATCTACCACACCAACTACGTGAGGAACGCCAGGGCCATGGGGGTTCTCTGGGCCCTTTTCACCCTCTGCTTCTCCATCCTGATGGTGGTGACCTTCATCCAGCCGTACTGGATCGGCGACAGCATCGACACCCCCCAGGCCGGTTACTTTGGCCTCTTCTCCTACTGCATCGGCAACGCGCTCACCGGGGAGCTCATCTGCAAGGGCAGCCCCCTGGACTTCGGCACCATCCCCTCCAGCGCCTTCAAAACAGCCATGTTCTTTGTAGGCATCTCCACCTTCCTCATCATCGGCTCCATCCTCTGTTTCAGCCTCTTCTTCTTCTGCAACGCAGCCACCGTCTATAAAGTCTGCGCCTGGATGCAGCTGGCGGCAGGTGAGTGGGGCTGGGGGGGATCCCTGGGGGGGCTGGTGGTCCGGCCAGAGATGCTTGTCCCTCTCTGTCCCCATCTTGATTCTGCCAAGGGTAGGGCTGGCCAGGAAAGGGACACCAGTATAACCTCCATGCCCCATTTACTCCCTGTTACTGGTTACCAGTGGGGAATTTGCAGTGAGTAAAACCTGTCAGAGCAGCTGAGACCCAGCAGACTCATTACCTGTGGGTGATGCTCCCCTCTCTGCACCGCTGCAAAACCAGGTGGCACCAATGGTTCCCATCCCTGCTTACCTGGGGGGGCTTTTCCTCTGGCCATCACCTGATGCCATCGCTGCTGCTCGGTCCCCTCGGTTCCAGTTTCAGGGTATCAGCCCCTGAGCACCAAACGCTGCAGGGCTGGGGCACGGGGCTCTCTGCTGCCTTAGGGATCCTGGGGGAATTCAGCAGGGAGATGGTGACAACCTTTGCTGGGTTATTTAGTGCCTACAAGATGTTTTGGTGCCTACGAGACTCTTTTTGGTGCCTACAAGACCCTCCGCAGCAACTGGGGATCTCCCTGAGCTTGGGGGAAGCTGTCCCAGGGAGGGGGAGCAGGAGGAGGGCTCTGACTGTAGGGTTTGGTACCATCTCCCACATTTCCCTACTTTTCCTCTCATCTTTGCATCCCTGTGGATCTCCAGCCTTCTCCATCCCTCCCCCAACGCAGTGAGACACCTGAGACACCCGGTAACCCAGCTCCTGCCTTCTCAGCCCCAGCTGAAACCCAACCCAGCCCTTTGTTGCTCCTGAATCATTCATACTGGGACCAGCCACAGCCCCCGCCATCCCTGGGTGCCCCCGTGCCAGGGACCCCCCAGCTGACACCCCGTGGGAGGGTGGCATCAGGGTTGTTTCAGTTCCTGGCTAAAGAAGCGAAGCTCAAGCAAAGATTTAGATAAGAGGCTTGGGGCAGCTCAGCCTCCTGGGGAGCTGGAGCGGGGAAAGGCTTTGCTGTCATATTTGGGGGTTTTATGGATATTTTAGCACTGGATGGGGAGAGAAACTCGGCCCAGGTGGCTCTGGCCATGCAGACAAACCCGAATCATCACCAAGAACCCAGTTTCTCAGCCCCAGGTGCTCTCGGAAGCTTTCAAGTCACCAGGAGTGATGCAGATGCTGCTGCATTTCTGGGAGTTATTTAAAAAGGGAGCAGGTGACAAGTGGATCCATTTTCTGGCCTTTGCTCTGCACCAGGCTGTGTTTTCACAGGAGAAGCGATTTCTTTCCAGCTTCCCCCATCTCTCCGTGCCCCTCCTCTCCGCTAGCTACAGGGATGGGTAATTAAATACAGGAGAAACCAGCTGCTTCTCAATGAAGGGAAATGTTCTGTGCAGACCCAGGGAGCTGCCCGCTGGCCTTGCTGCTCTTCCATCCACAAGCCAAGGGGAAAAAACATCAGCGAAGCAGGAGGCAACTGTCCCTCAAGTGTTTTCTGGTTCACTGAGCACCCAGTGATGGAGAAATGTCACCAGGGCAGGGAGCATCTCGCTGCGGGTGTCCCCAAAGGACAGGGACAAACAGCCACTCGTCCACAGCTGCCACCATGGGGTTGTTTCTGGCATGAGGAGCCTGGGAAGTTCTCACACCTGCAGGGAAAGATAGAAAGGGGCCGTTACTTCCATGCTCTGCACCAAGATAAGGGCAGAGGATGCGAAGAGCCTCTGTTAATCACACCCCAAAGCCTGGCAGGTGAGCTCAGCTCTTCATCCCAAGCCCGGTCACTCTCCTTGTCCAGCAAATACAATTTCTCTGAGCGTGAGGGATCCATGGGGTGAAAAAAAACCACCTGTGAGATTTCAACATGAACCAGTTGGCAGGTGATGGCCCTTCAGCAGCTCGTGCTGGGTGTGTCACAACTCCCATGGCAAAGCCACAAAGGTGACAAGCCGGTGCCATCGAGGTTGTGTGTGCACTGGGGCTGGGGAGTGAGAGCAGCAGCAGGAGCTGGTGGTGGCTCATGGCCGGGCTGGAACCGTCACAGCTGAACAAGCAGAATTAATCTCCCTGCAAAGCTGCTGCTGACAGCAGCTCCACCTCAGCAAACCCTCAGCTGAAATCCAGCTGCGCATGGGGGAGTAACCAGGTTCCCCACCTTGCACAGATTAAACCCAACTGGTTTTGTTTGGAGAAGATACGTCTCTGGAGGACGCGGGCAGGGATGTGGCGGAGGCAGGAGAGGTGTTGCCTGGGCAACGC